TGCTTTATTATTGGTCCTGTAGGTGCTTACTGCATAGTGGCCATTGTGGGGTTTTTTTTACCCCAACAATGTCCCTTGATGTTCATACGTTATTAAGGTCAGTCCAGACATTATTATGAAACAGATGCACGTCCATTAAAACCTTGTTAGGAGATGTTATCGTCTTTCTTTGCACATGTAATTAATTCAGGCTTGACTTACTGCTTCGATGGAAGGTGAAATCACTGCTCAAGGATGCATGGTAAAGTCCCCTGCTACAGAGTGTTAAACTGGTAATCTTGTGTCACTGGATTACAACTTGTGAGCTGAATCACCGACTGTCTTGCCTGGTGAAGGACAGTAAGGATTTGCAGCTCATACCATGTAGCCTGGCATTCTCTGTGTGCCAAATGTCAGCTTGTCCTAGAGAAACAATGCTAGACCCTGGCCCGGTGGGTTCTGGCAGTGCTATGTGCTGGCTCTTGTGCCATTGTTCTGTATTGCGTAGCTTATGTGAGGACATGACTATTAAGAATGATGTTGCTAAATAACGTCCTTCATCTAAACATACTGATCTTGTGCGAGCTCTTCTGTTTGATCAGTTTGGCATTACACCTCTGTCCTGGTTTTGCTGGGATTGAATCATAGCCTTCTCTTTTATGTTTCAGCAAAGCTGCATTTCTGAGAGAATTGCAGCGTTCAATTTAGTGAACACAAGTCAATATTACAGCTTCAGCTGGGATAGAGTTATTTTCCTTGTAGTAGCTAGTGAGAGTTTTGATTTGGATTTTTGCATTATCTCAAGGTGTGTTTTCCAGTCTCTGCCTAAACATGTGTTCATAGCTGCTTTTGGGTTTTTCTTCTGTCTGCACAAGAGAATGGGGAGGAGGTCAGGAAGTGAAAGCCTGGGGTTTTCTGGGACAGGTGATCCGGGACTGATGATCTGGGTGTGATCCAAGCTGACCAATAAAAATGTATCCTGTACCACAGTGGTCACACTATAAACTGGGGAGTTTGCAGGGGATGACACATTCCTTTCCTTCCTTCCTTTGACTTCATGATGGTGGCCCATTTATGTGGTTCCTGGGGCTTGCCCCTCCCTTGTGATTTTGTTGGTGACTGCTGTTTGTGAGCTGAGTATAGTTTTGATTGCTTTATTATAGTTGTTCCTATTCTTATTACAGTTTTTTTTAATTTATTTTTATTTTTTCAGTTTGGTTAAATTATTAAATAGTCTTTATATCAACAGATGAATTCTTTTGATTTCACGGTTCTTTCGTCTGCCCCACTGGAGACAGGGGGTCTGAGTGAGTGAGTGTCTGCATGGTGTTTAGCTGCTTGCCAAGTTAAACCACGACAGTCTCAATGTGATACAAAAACTGGTTTTGCTGAGCACCTGTCCATGATCATTTTTAGGGCTAATTTAGCTGTGTTCAGCATTGTTGACTTTAATGTGACAAAGCTTGGCAAGGGTGTTCTTGGTGACTTTATTATTTTTTTTGGTCCTTCTTAAAGCTGACAGTAGTCAGTTGATTGCTTCATCCAAAGGCTGTCTTCTGTAGAATTTAGAATTTAATCTGTGTTAATCAACTTTCTGAAGTGGAGATTAATAGGAAAGAATAATTTGTAATGTTTTCAGAATGCTTGCATTTCCATATATCCACATCTGAAGGAAAACCAGTGTTACACTCAAGATGCCCACTATTACCTGAAAACATACAAAATTTAGACATCACTAAAAATCTCCAGTAAAGGAGAAGAAATAATTGTGTAAAATACTCTTGGTCCCACTAGATGATAACAAGGTATTTTCTAGTAATTGACACTAAGAAATATTAATTCTCTAACTATTGCTGAAAACCAAGGGAAAAGTATATAATCTTAGAGATGGTTTTATTTGTTGGTCTCTTGTAGGTCTTGGGTTAAGTTTGAGTACATTATTCAGGAAATGGTACCTTAAACCTGTTTTGCAAATGGCTGTGGAAATCTGCAGCTGTCTTATCAATGAGATTCTTGCAGAGAAAATGCTTTCCATCAGGTCTCAGATGAGGTATCCAGAGAAAGATGTGCTTCTTTAAAAACATTTTTCTCTTTTTTTCATTACAACTGATGTTCTGAAGGTCATTGTGCCCACTGGTAGCTGCATTGCCAAGTTTTTCTGCAAGTAATTTTTAGGGAACAGTAAATTGACGAGTAGAGTAGTTTTGTTTATTTTTGAGATCAGCACTTAAAAACCTTTTTTTTTTTAAATTTTCAAAGTTTGATTTTTATATATCTTCTGGGGTGCCAGGTTTATTTCAAACTGGTCTTTACATTATTGCTATACTGTGCTTAAACTCTGAATAAGATTTAATCAGTTTGAATATATAAAGGCTTCTGGCCAGGTTCTGCACTGAGATTGTTTTATGGGATCGGTATGTTGCTGACAGATTCAGTCAAAAGCAAGCTTTATCTTTAAGTAACTGAAAGACTGTAAAAATACCAACAGCCTGAAATTGATTTTCAAGGAGGGTGTCCTGTGACGATACTCAGATGGAGTCTGACTTAGAGATTCAAAAATCCTATATGGCTGACTCATGATGGGGCATCTTTTTATTGCTAACGCTTTTACCTTTAACACAAAGCACTATAAACCAGTGTGAGATAAATCATTATGTATCTGGCACGCCAAAGAAAGCTAACTGACTCTGGAAGTACTTGCTTCATGGCTAATACATGCTGTGGTAAACATATTTTAATTTAATTTCCTTGAAGGGAAACTGGAGCTGGACATCTACACATTGTTTTCTGTGAGCTATTCTCAGCCTGCACACCAGCAGTCAACAAACACTGTTCAGTTCATTTCAGTTTGAACACTGTGAATACCATTTGGCCCCAAGAGAAAAAGAAAAGCTCGAGCAGGGAAGCATTTTAAAAGAAAAGAATGAAGGTGGGGGGTTTTTGTTACGCAAAAGGCAGAAAAGATAGGACAATCTAAATTTACTTACTGTAAAGCCCCACAATCCACAGCCTAATTGCTTTGCAGTTGCACTGGACATAATCCTTGAGAGGAGCATACCTCTTTAGTTGCAGAAGAGGGTAGTGGTTGGAGAGAAGTAAAGCTTCACTGAATAATGTTGCTTAAAGTTTTTTGAGAGGGCACTGTTTCTCATGCCAAAAAAAGAAATCCAAGCAGGCTACTGTGATAAATGATTGCAGATTTTTGAGTAGTCCTGGCTGATGGAAGTGAATCATCAGCTGCTTGGTTACATGTAGAGCTGGGTGATTTCAGGGGGATGTCTTAGTGTGGGGAGTATAAAAGAGTTCTGTAATGGAGTTTGTCGAAAAGGATATTACAGGTTTTATATCGATGAAGAAAAATAGGATACCCATCCAGATCCTTTCTTCTGTTGTCACTCTCCTCTTTCCTTTATTTGAGACTTGAATGCTGGGGAGGTACATACACAGCATGTGAAACCTCTAACAGAAGTGAAAATGGAGACTGGCAGAGTTTTACTAGTTACGGTATTAGTTCACAGGTACAAATTGCTTAGAAATAATGAACAAGCAGAAATTCAAGTATGGGGTTTCTCTTCAGTTGAAGGAAGCTTTTGCTTAAGAAATTATTTATATCCTAAACTAGCATAGAAGTCTCATATTGAAAAAGACTATTCAACGCTTCATTTGAAGTTACCTGGAGGTACAACCTCCTGAATGGGTATTTCAGAAATGCCTATAATACTTCATGCTTATTTTGAACCTTTCATACGTGGAAATCCGAGTGCATTATGAGTGGAGGGGATTTTTGTATTGACTACAGATGCATAGACTTGAAAAAATGAAGGGAAAAGGCACAAAACCACCTTATGAGATTACAGTAAGCCTTTGCTCTGTGTCTTATGGAGTTGCTTCCCTTTTTCTCTCCAGTGGACAAAACTGGCTGCTTCAGAAGAGCCACTGCCGTTAGTTGTCTGCTGGGGTTTATTTTTGGCTGTGTTTGTGGCAGAGGTGGCAATATGAGGAATTCCTTGCATGATATGATTTTATGCATGATCCCCTGTATGTCATGGAAGCATGTAATTGTCATGGCCATTTGTGCCATTTGATGTTAAGGTGAAGAAAAATGAAGTGAAAATACACTATTTCTTTAGCAGTCATTGTCTTCTCATGAACAGCACAGTAAGTTGTGATAAGTAACTCAAAGGTTACTTCATAGGATACTTTTTTCTTTTTAAATACACTGTCTCTTTATGTTCACTAAGTTTTGATCTTTCCTTCATTTCTCATGCTATATTATCCATGGGCTTTAAAGGCCTGAATGTGAGACACTTTAAATGAAGGATTGGTCCTTTGGAAGGACCTATTTGCTGAATGCTGAAGCAGTCTGTGATGTAGGAGTTGGCAGTGCTAACAGTTTTCCTACTGCAGACGGTTGCCTAAGGTCTATTTATCTGAAAGTAAGGAAAAACTCTATCTGTTCTCATTGTGCAGCTAGGAGCTTTTGCTTGAACACATACCAGTCTGTACTAGCAAGCTGTCCTCATACCATATATACCATCTGCCCAGCGATGTCTGAGGAGTAGAAGCAGGTAGGGCTACTGACAATGTGATCAAGTGCCACCAACTGGGGCCATGAGACTACTCCACTCTTGGGTTGTCTTAGGACCCGTAGCCTTTTTCTGCTACTAGTCACAAGGCTCAGCTGATCATGAAGCTGTCTGCTGGAGCTCAGCTTCAAGACAGCTTTGTTATTCTAGCTCTGTTGGCTGTGACTCAGTAGAAATGAAATTTGCCATATGTTACAGTACCAATTTCTTGTGCACATTTTAAAGTTTTCTATCATTTTGTTTTGAATGAGATGTACCATTTCCTAATTCTACTTCAGTAGCACTGGCATGATTAGCACCTAAGGAGGCAGCACAGGGCTTGGGAAAGAGAAAGGGAAAACACCCCATCCTTTTCTTAGCTCTAAGTGAAACAAATTAAAACTTCTGAAGTCAAAAGACTATCTAAGAATACATCTGCCTTTTTTCATTGCAGTATACATGAAGCTCAAGATCTGAACCTGCTATGACTGACCCAGACGTCCTCACTGAGGTCCCAGCAGCTCTCAAACGCCTTGCCAAATACGTGGTGCGTGGCTTTTATGGCATTGAACATGCTTTGGCTCTGGACATTCTCATCAGGAACCCCTGTGTGAAGGAAGAGGACATGTTAGAGCTCCTGAAGTTTGATAGGAAGCAATTGCGAGCTGTCCTCAACACTCTCAAGGGTGACAAGTTCATCAAATGCAGGATGAGGGTAGAGACGGCTCCAGACGGCAAAACCACCCGTCATAACTACTATTTCATCAACTACCGCCTTCTGGTTAATGTGGTGAAATACAAGCTGGACCACATGAGGAGGAGGATTGAGACAGATGAGAGAGACTCCACCAATCGCGCCTCTTTTAAATGCCCTATTTGCTTCAGCACTTTCACGGACTTGGAGGCCAACCAGCTGTTTGACCCCAGGACAGGTAAGAGTACAGGTAGCAGCATGCTCTTGCTCTCTTACTTCCCTCTAAGTGCTGGACCTTAAGGAAATAGAGTCTTAGGAAAATTCTCTTGAGTTCGGCCAGAGCTAGAGGGCGCTCTGTTTCTGCAGGTGCTAAATGTTTGAGCAAAATAGAGATGTATACAGGTTTATGCAGTCTGTACAGGCAAATAGCAGTGTTGGTAAAATGTGAGTGACAAGCAGTAGAGAAATGGTCTTATCGCAGTCGAATTGAAGGGTAAATAAGGTAGTCTGTCCTTGTTGGTAGCTGATGGTTTGTCAGTATAACCTGGTCTTGCTTGTAAACTGTATGACTTAGTGATAGTTTGCAGAAAAAGCATATGTACAGTTGACTTTGGTATGCAAGACCCCTTTAATTTAGAGGTGGCCGTGCAAGGAGTGAGTTGTTACTGTTTAATTTTCTTCTGGCCAGTTCATTATACCTTGTTTCCCCAGTGTAAAGCAGTCTCATGGAAGTTAAAAGAAATTAATTACAGACTTGTCTGTGGTTGGGAGTAAACAAGATTCTTTTTCAAGTGTGTGTCTCAGTCTCAGTGGAGGTGCATATCTGTCTTGTGCATATGAAATAAGAATCTTTTCTGGGTGCCGTTGTCTGCAGGGGGAGTGCAAATACTTTGTGCTTCTGTGCCAGAGAAGAAAAGGAAGAACACCTGTACCTGGTGAGATCCTATTTTGCTAGTCTAATCCGGGATTATTTTGAGGGGAAGGCAGGGACCAGGGGTTGGGTGTTAGAATTTCACCTTCTGAATTAGTTTCTTTACTTTTTAATCTTTCCTTTTGACTTCATTGTCCTGATCATTCTTTTCCACAAAAATAAAAGAACAGAAGTCTGGGGAGCTCTCAGAAACATTGGTGTGTGGTGCTTTGTGTCAGTTACCATAGTGAGAAACTGTAAAAATTCACTGTTTAGTGGTATTGAAGCTTTTAATCTAGAGTTACTGATGTTTAATCTGCTTTGGAGAAGGGCAAACACCCAACAAATGTTCAGCCTATCACTTTCCCTCTTTGCTGCCAAAGATCAAGAGCTGTGAAACTCTTTTTATTTGAACAACCGTGAAAATTATATTTAGTACTAGAGGAGTAGAATCCACTAAGTCAAGTAGTGACTGTTGCTGTAATCCAGCGCAGCTATTCGAGTAGAATTTGCTCCGTCATGGAGCACTGAAACCAGCAGTGCCAGCACAGATTTCTTTATACTCGCCACTACAGTAATGATCACCTGTGACAGCTACAGCTGTGGGTGTTGGGCTGAAGGGGAATAGTGCTTTTGCAGTTTGTTTTGATAAGGAGTAGAGAACCTGTGCAGAGAAACACAGTGGGGCATGTGAGACACTCATCCCAAGGGAACCAGTAATGCTTCACAGATGAATCCTCCTGGCCTGTGTGGGCGATGAGATCCAAGAGCAAAAAATTGGCTGTCAAGGAGATGCAGAAGACATCATAATGCTGGAATTCAGCTTTGACAGCCAGGCCTGTGCTCCAGGAACTGATGAGGTCAACCAAGGGTTTGTCTGCAGTACAGGCACTGGCTGTCTCCACAATGCAAAATCAGTTTTTGCTGATGGAAGGAAAAGGTTGAGTGCTGTTCTCCCGGCAATTCCCAGCAGCTGGTTTCTGTCAGTATTATTGCAAGTAACAAGATAGCCAGTTTACCTTCACTAACTTTCAATAAGAACATACCTGCATAGAATTTATGTATACTCCATTTCCTCTGTATATAACTTCTAAGTCAATGATAGTTTCATCTAAATGGTGCATGATGATACTGTTGTTTCTCAAGAGCTTTTATGTATGCTGTGGTTTATACAGTTGCTGAATCACCTAATGCCTCCTCACCACCCAGGGAAGAGGGTCAGGAAAAGGAAAGGAGATTTAAGGGTTGAAATACAGATAGATTTAATGAAATAATAATAAAAACTAATATTAATAACAGTTCTAATATAAAATACACAGAGTTATACTCTGCCAGTATATAGGGGAGTAGGCCTCAGGGGTAGGATGGTAAACAAATTGCTCTCGAGATGTCAGCTACGGAAGAGGGAAGGAGGAGGATGAAGAGAAAGGCAAAAAAGAGGGCTGTCCCCAGCAAACTCCCCCAGTTACAGTGAATGTGATGTTTATGGTATAGAATAGTATTAATTAGTCAGCCTGGAGTCAGCTCCTCTGGGTTTCCGTTCCCCTCAGTTATCTCAAGACTGCTTAAGACCCTGAGCATCACATAACAAACTTTAGCTGAAAAACTATAACAAAGTCTTCTCACTTTGCTCCCATGAAATAGTGTTGTAGTCCTTACAAAATCACAGATTTCCTCAACAGAAAGCTGAATCTCAAATTCTGTCCCAGTAAAGCAGGACAATGTGGGATACGAGTTTGGATAGGTCTCTCTAGTTACTGTTTCCTCTGGAATTCCATATTAGAAAAGAACTGAGACACCTTTGGGTCTCTCACAGAGGGAGCTCGTGATGACAAGGCATGCAGAGAACAAGGTTTATTAGACAGTGAATAGCCATCCTTTCCCAAGGATGTCTTTAGCCCTTATCAGCACTGTACATAAACCTCTCCCTCCCATTGAAACTCATGGCAATACAGCTACTGAAGGGTAGCTGAAAGCCACATGAATTTCAGTCGTGATTGACCTGAGCTGCTCCCAGGCTGCAGCCATGTAGATAAAAATTTTGTGAATTAAAAGCCTGCAGGGCCAAAGTCTGTTAGTCCATGGAGGGGCAGAGCATGGAAGGCATCCTCTGCAGAAGTCTAGACCAAGCCGCACTTAAACTTGTGATCTGTTTTTAAAAGACATCCTGTTTCACTGTCTGGTTTTTGTCCTTGTCACTCAAAGATAAGGATGGTTTAGACGTCCTGTGTTTTCTTCTGCTTAGCTTTCCTCATTCCTAGCTACTACGCAAATGCGAACTCTGAGCAGTTGTTGTAGAATGAAAGGGTTAGAATAGGAAGTTATGGCTCCTGTCCTTCCTCGTCAGTGATGGTGAGGAGGTTTCAAGAATCTCTCCGTGACTGTTGTCATTCTATTGCGATTTGTGAGTAAAGAGTGCCTGTGAAGAGCCTCTCTGTAAGTTGGATCTGTAGTGTGCTTTGATTTTTACCACAGCATCTGTGTCTGTCTCGACTTTAGCAGAAGCCTGTTTCTTACAGGTTACCAGCTGTCAAATGGAGCCTTTTTTAGCTTTGTGGTTTGTTCCATTTGTGAATAATTTTGAAGTAAACTATTTATTTTTTTGTCAGAAGATGTGATTATTGGTGTTTTTAGAAAGTGGAAATGTGTCTGCTGAGAGAAAGTAATTGATAGTAAAAAGGCTGTGTCTTCAGGGTATGTAGGTATAGATATGCTTTGGTTGCTGTTCATCCAATTAATTTGAAAAATAATTTTGAACAGAGTAGCATGTTTGCCACTAAGGTAATTTTAGATTTTTATTTTAAATGGTAGAAATGTTAGTCTGAGAGTGTGATCTCTCTGTTTTTAAAACTATTTTATCGCTTTTCTCCATCTGTTTTTCTGCCATTAAACATCTCAACCCAAAAAAGCTCCAAAAGCTTACTATGCTGTCAAAGGTTGATCAAGTATTATCTGATGCTTGTAGGAAATTCAAGGATGGGGATCGTGTAATGTTAAAGAAACTGTCAGACTGAAGGTCAAGGTGACAAAAAAACCAGAGTTTTTTCTGCTTCTTCAGTTCACAAAGGGATGTTCTGAAAAGTGAAAAGTAACACATGTAGTGTTGGATGAGTCACTTGGTTGTATGAGTAGTGAGTGCCTGCGAGCTCTAAGCATGGCATGGCCAGGTCATGAGTTTTAGCCTCAGCTGTTTGAAGTGAAGAGCTGGAACAGATCTCCAGATACCGCACTTTCTCCTCAGTGGCAGTTTTTACTGTTGCCTCCAAAGCAGCAGTATCGGTAGCTGCTGCTTTTGGAGTCAAAACAGCTTGGACACAGCATGCTCTTATTTTCAAGTGTTTGCTGTGGAAACTTGCAGCAAAGCTAGGAAGAATGTTCTCATTGGAGAGGTTGCAGATTTGCACTTTGCCTGTTAGACCTGGCAGTGCCTTTGAAGGGAATTGGTGCAGGCTGAGCAGACAGCTCTTACCCACTTTTGTGCGTGTTTTGAGATCTACAGAAAGAAAACCACTAATGCTGTATCAATGAAAAGTGTTGCTTCTAGCCTTGTGCTTCAGATGGGATGACTGAGAAAGGGAAAAGATTGTAGCTTTTCTAGAAGATCCTAATGAAAGCACTGGAAATACAGATCATTGCCTTTCACTTGTCCATCGTCTGCTGTCTATCTGTGCTCTGATGCTCATCACTCTGTTGTGCATGCTTGCAGTTGCATGGAGCTGCCGTTGTGATGAAGCCTCATGCAGCCATTCCCTTAAACAAGGTAAGGGCTACTTCTTGAGGCAAGGATGTACAAGAAAGAGTTTAACTGAGTAGTGGTAAGAAAAGCCAGATGTTAAAGTGAGTAACACTGCTGAACTTCATCTGTTCCCAGACCTGGGCTGATCGTGGTCACTGATATAAGGGTGCTGGGTTTTCAAGTCTTCACCTAGAGACCGGATGTTACTTCATCAGGCTCTTATACAGACCAATGGGAAAAATTTTCTTCTCTGTGTTTTTAAGTGTAGAAACTACAGAAATTTGGTTTCTCTAGGTCAGCTCCTGAAATTGCAGAGTAATCTAAACAACTCGACACCACCTTGTGGATTCAATCTTTAAAAAAAAATTATTGGAGGATTAAATATGCAGAAGTCTGTTCTGTGGAGTGTGGGGGGAAGGACAGGAGGAGCTGCACTGTCTCACCCAGTAGAGGGAGCTGCCTTCTTTTCTCTATACATATGGGCTTGGATTGATTAATTTATTGACTGTCACAAAACTGGAAATGATGTTCATGAATATGTGTTCTGTAGTGTGATTAAGTGGATCTGGTTGGGGAAGGTGTCTCTGAGGTA